AAGTAGTGACATATGATATACTTGAGACTTCAACACTTACCTTATTACAATCTCGAAGGCGATGATGTGTGGAGATGGTTTGGCAAGAATGTGACGATGAGGGGACGAGAGTGCTGTGCAGCGATGGCAAGAGGGCGAGGGGAGAGTGTTATGTGGTGACGACGAGAGGGCGAGAGGGCGAGAGAGTGCTATGATGGATGAGAAGGCAACAGAGGGTGAGACTTGAGAGGCGAGAGTACTACGGTTTGCGACTACGCTTTAGGGTTAGATTTCTAAATTTATTTTGAATATATATTACAAAAACAATGTTTGAGTCCGGTCTACTCGAAAAATTTGTTCAACCCAAAACAAAAGAAATCAGTTAAAAAAATTTACCCAACCGAGTTAGGTTGGCTGAATTTTCGAGTTTGATGTAACCCTTTTGACGAATGTGCCTATAATTTTCATGGATTTAATGAACAAAGTGTTTAAGGGAGATAAAGTCCAACAAAATTCTAAGTGACCTCCCTCAATCAAGGTCATCGAGGTAGGCAATTTCTATCACACCCTTATAAATAATGTTTTGTTCTCCTCTTCAACCGATGTGAGATCTCACAATCCACCGCCCCTCAAAGCCCAACATCCTTGCTGACAATCGTTCCCTTCTCCAATCAATATGGGATCCCCCAATCCGCCCTCCTTTGGGGCCCAATGTCTTCGCTAGCACACCGTCTGATGTCTGATTCTAATACCATTTATAACCGTCCAATTCCACTGATAATAGATAGTGGTGGGTTTAAGCCATTATAGAAAGATTACGAAGAATTACTCAACTCATAATTTGTAGTTAGCTGATTTCGTCCTTACCTTAAAAATTTGAAGATATTTGTATTGAGAGAAAATTGAGATATTGTAGAAGAGTAAGTTAAAAAGTTTGAATTTTAGTGAAGTGTTACAGTAGAAATTGAGTGAATACAAGTAAACAATTCTTAGAATGTATATATATGAGATGGTTTTTTCCTTTCTCTTCTCACAATCTCAACCATGTCAGTTTCTCCATATCCATCGATGTCAAAGTGGCGCAATGCATTCTTTCTAATCACAACGCCGGACATGCCAACTCGGATGCGAAAGCAGATCGAGGAGATGCATGGATACAATCTTCAGTTGGTGATTCATAAGAAATTAATAGAAACTGATATGAACGAGAAAGATGGCCGTTTGTTTCTTATAATCAAGAAAATCTTATTCGATTTCATCACCCCAGACGAGGAGGAGCTCTTGAATGATGCAAACGGAGTCATGGAAGTCAAGATTCTTGATGAGGGTCAAAGGGTGAGCCCCATGTTCTTGACCAAAGGCAAGATTCAAGAACATGATGCATATTGTTTGACCACTCATTGGAATTCTTTTGTCGCCAAAAATTGCTTGAAAATTGGCCACCTTATCCAACTTTGGAGTTTCAGAAGAGTTCGACTCGTAGACATAGATAACGAAATATTCACCTCTGATCTTTACTTTGCGTTGAATACCATGGATGGTCGATGTTTTCTTTAGATATGTTCTTGAGTAAATAATGGATAGGATTGGTAGTTTTCTTTAGATGTTTTCTTTCTATGCGTTCTTGCGTAGACTCCGTAGATTGTTTTTTAGAGTTTTTTCGTACGTCCCAGTTCAAGAAATTATCCATTCTTAAATAAATGTTAGGATTAGTAGTTTAATAATTTTCACGTCTTGCCTCGAGTAAACTTTTGATTACTCTGTCTCAATTATTTATATTTGTAGCGATCTAAGTCCAAGATCCGGGATCTAATGATCCTGACATCCCCTTATATCCCTGTTCTAAGAGTGAAGACTAACAATTATGCTGATTATCTTAGGTAGCTCATTCTTGAAAATTGCTAGAACATTAATGGATGTCCACAAGATAACGATAATATTTAGCGTGGGTGTTCAACAAATAAAATTCAATATCAATGGCTACTTGAAAGAGAGAAACATTTAGTAATCTCTCAGATTGATTTGAAACCAAGTAGAACAGAAGATGTGCAATGGCCCATGATGCAAACTTAACGAACTACTTAGCCTGCAATTTCATCCGAGCATCCGAGCAGATCTATCATATGAACCATAAAAGTTTATTTGTGATGCAAAAAGATATTTAGGGGATGAATCGATACAAATGAAAATTAAAAGGAATGAGTCGGGTATCATATTTTCGAGAAAAGGGAATGCTTCATCTTCCACTCTATTATCACTTTTTTCTTTAAAACAATATATCAACATACTATGCTATCCTAAGATACTTAACCGATACGTTAAACAATATATTAACATCGGACCATTGAGGACAATGTCAACTTTAGGGTCACTTTAAATGGGACAATAAACTTGACTCCACACCTCAAAACAATGCTAGACAAACCTTTATATAAAGGTAGTAATACTAATTCTTGAATCAAAAAGGGAATATTAATCAAAATAGTTATGTTGAGGCCATCCCTGAATTTAGATTTCAAATCATGGGCATAAAGTGTTACAAATAGATATTGTCCCTGGGCCCATATCCCTTGGCCCCGCTAGTAGATATTGTCCTCTTTGGGCTTTCCCTTTTGGGTCCTCTTTGGGCTTTCCCTTTCGAGATTCCCCTCCAGGCTTTAAAATGCTTCTACTACTAGGGGAAGGTTTCCACACCCTTATAAATGGTGTTTTGTTCTCCTCCCCAACCAATGTGGGACATCACAATCCACCCCCCTTCGATCCCAGCGTCCTCGTTAGCACTTGTTTCTTTACCCAATCGAGGTGGACCGCCACCAAATCCACCCCCTTTGGGGTTTAACGTCTTTACTGACACACCGCCTTGTGTCTACCCCCTTCGGGGAACAGCGAGAAGGCTGACACTTCGTCCGGTATCTAGCTCTGATACCATTTGTAACGACCCAAGTCCACTGCTAGCCGATGTTTTCCTTTTTGGGTTTCCCCTCAAGGTTTTAACACGCGTGTACGAGGGGAAGGTTTCCACACCCTTATAAAGGGTATTTTGTTCTCCTCCCAACCAATGTCAGGAAATAAAATTTTGGAGAGATTTTTTTTCTTTTTTTGTAGCCAACCGAGTTATTCCACTCTTATTAATTAGGGTCATGATTTAAAACGAATAGTTTTAGATTTGGAATGGAAATTATAAACAAATCACTTACACGCCACGACACTCTGTTAGGGTTAGATATACACACATATTCATTGCAAGGATTTCATACTTCCTAATGGATCACCCTAGGGCACATGAATTCTCTTTGTAAAGAAGAAAGATGGACCGTTGCACCTATGTATTGACTTTCAAGAGTTGAACAAGATATCAATAAAAAATGAGGACCACTTTTACAAATATTGACTTGTTCGACCAATTTCAAGGAACGTTAGTATTTCCAATACTAAATTTACGAATGTTCCCAACAGTTAAGAACAAGAGACAATGATACAAACATGAGTTTAGGCATGATTCCCAACCGTTGAGAACAAAAGACAATGATACAAACATGAGTTTAGGCATGGTTCCCAACCGTTGAGAACAAAAGACAATAATACAAACATGAGTTTAGGCATGGTTCCCAACCGTTGAGAACAAAAGACAATGATACAAACATGAGTTTAGGCGGTGTCATATGAGTTGACAACTGATAATCTACATACATGCTTGAGACTTTAACACTCTTATTACAAGCTCGAAGGCAATGACGTGTGGTGATGGTCTGGAGAGAAGGCCACGATGAGGGGACAAGAGTGTTGTGCACCGATGGCAAGAGGGTGAGAGTAGAGTGTTATGTGGCAACGATGAGAGGGCGAGAGTGCTACGGTAGACAAGGGGCGATAAAGGGCGAGACTCGAGAGACAAGAGTACTACGGGTTGCGACTGCGCTTTAGGGTTAGATTTCTAAATTTATTTTGAATATATATTACAAAAACAACAGGTTTGGGTCGACTCGAAAAATTTTCCTCCCAACCCCAACCCAAAACAAATAAAATCAGTTAAAGAAACACCCAACCCAACTCTTATAATTCATGTTAGGGATACTAGATTTTCGGGTTAGATGTACAACCCTATTGAGAATGTGCCTATAGTTTTTATGGATTTGATGAACTAAGTGTTTAAGGGATAAGTGGGCTACTTAAGAAAAGGATATATTGTTTCCTAAGCATCATTGATTATGCTTATCGCTATTTGAAAGTATAGCAGTCCAAGTCCACCACGAGTAGATATTGTTTTTTTTTTTTTTGTTTTCCCTTTCAATTTTTTCCTTCAAGGTTTTTAAAACGTTGTCTATAGAGAGAGATTTCCACACCCTTTTAAAGAATGCTTCGTTCTCCTCCCTAACCGATGTGAGATTTCACAATCCACCCCCTTCGGAGCCCAATGTTGTCACCGACACTCATTCCCTTCTCCAATCGATATTTGATCCCTCAATCCACCCTCTTTGAGTCCCAGTGTCCTTACTAGTACACCGCCTAGTATCTGACTCTGATACCATTTGTAACAGCCGAAGCCCACTGCTAACAGATAGCAGTGGACTTAGGCCGTTACAAAATGATTATTAATAGTACTAACTCATAATTTGTAGTTAGAAGTTGTGGTCTTTACTTTAAAAATTTGAAGACATTATTTGTATGGAGAGAAGATTCAAATCATCATAGACCATAAGAGATTAAAACACTCTTAAAGTCGAAAGTTCTAAACACGGGACAACAATAGGTGCCCGAAGCTAGTTACAGATTATAAAGTTGATATATTATATAATACTAACTTAAACGGTGAATTTTAGTAATATCTCTTCAAGCGAAAATTTGAAAGTATTACCATAGAAATTGAGTGAATCCAAAGTAAACAATTCTTAGAATGTATATATATTAGATGGTTTTTTTCTCTCTTCTCATAATCTTAACTTATGTCATTTTCTCCAAATCGATCGATGTCAAATCTGCGTACCAAGTTTTTTATATACTCGACGCCTGACATACCAACTCGGATGCGAAAGCAGATCGAGGACATGCATGGATACAATCTCCAGATGGTGATTTATAAGAAATTAATAGATATTGATATGAACAAGAAAGATGGCCGTATGTTTTTTCAAATCAAGAATGTATTTTTCGATTTCCTCACCCCAAAGGAGAAGGAGCTCTTGAATGATGCAAACGGAGTCATGGAAGTCAAGATTGTTGATGAGGCTCAAAGGGTGAGCCCCATGTTCTTGACCAAAGGCAAGATTAAAGAACATGATGTTTATCTTTTTACCACTCATTGGAATTCTTTTGTCGACAAAAATTGCTTGAAATTTGGCAACCTCATCCAACTTTGGAGTTTCAGAAGAGTTCGACTCGTAGACATCGATAATGAAATATTCACCTCTGATCTTTACTTCGCGTTGAATACCATGGATGGCCGATGTATTCTTTAGAAGTGTTCTTGCGTAAATAGTAGATAGGATAGGTAGTTTTCTTTAGATGTTTTACAATTCGTAGATGTTTTCTTTAAATGTGTTCTTGTGTAGGCTTCGTAGATTTTTTGTAAAGTTTTTTTCGTATGTCCCAATTCAAGAAATTATCCATTCTTAAATAAATGTCAATATCCTTAGTTTAATAGTTTTCACATTTTGGATCTTGTTTATTGGTTATATGTTTTCTAATTTTAGGGGGTCTCGAGTGAACTTTTGATTATTTTGTCTTAATTATTAATATTTGTAGCTGTCTAAGATCAGGATTTGGAATTTGATGATCTTGACATTCTCTTATATCCCCTTCTAAGAGTGAAGATTAACAATGATGCGTTAATTATCTTGGGTAGACCATTCTTGAAAACTGCTAGAACATTTATGGATGTCGTTAAGAGAACGATAATGCTTAGAATGAGTGATCAACAAATAAAAGTAGAGGCATACTGAGAACTATGGGATAAGGTGTAATCTAATAGGAACAGGAGAATGAATGTTTGTCTGTTGTGTTAACCATCGAATGCTAGGTGACTCACACCTAGAACTAAGAGGATGATGAGTAAAGTTCATGATGAAATAGTCTTATTGAGACTAAAATATTGACGAAAAAAATTAAGCTTATGGATGTGATAATTCTCATTGGATTATTTTTATGTCATGTCTTGATTTGGGATGAATGATGTTGGTAGACTTAATACATTATTCATGCATATGGATCGGCTATGATATTACTCACTTTTATAAGTCTACGATGTAAAAGAAAGCACGTGTAGAGGAGGCTATCTCAACCCTAATTTTGAGGTAATGGAAGCGCTATCTAAAGAATGTTATCGTTAAAGGAGGGTTAGCATCTTTTGGACGTCTTCTCTAAGCGCTATCTAATTTTGAGGTAATGGAAGCGCTATCTAAAGAATATTATCTCAACCCTATTAGAGCAAATTTTGGGTGTTTGATGGAAATCAACGTCCTCGGTGACTCTGGGAAGAGGAAGAGCAAAGACCAAACGTTTAATTGTACAGGTGCAATATGCAATTAGTCTCCCAACCCCTTGATCCAATTAGATTCACTCGTTTTAGGATGTTGTATGTTAGGATGTTATGTGTTACTATAGTTTTTGTTATTAGTGTAGCTAAATCAACAACAAAACAAAGGGTAATGATTTCATGCGTATTTAATATTGAATCGAGTTAAGTAATTTATACAAATTCCCTTGTAAAATTAATAATTTACTTATTACTTGCTTATGTATACTTAGAAACTAAGCAATATTTTAACCACATCACAAACACGATCAATAACGTCATACGTGAAACTCGACGACATAATTATTGATAATCTTCTTCCACTCCATGAGTACGTATGAAAAGCATGGCGGAAGGCACGTCGACAATGGAAAACAACGACCGTTTTCACACCCATTCTTATTCAAAAAAAAAAAAAAAAAGATCAAAGGTCAATTATCTTACCTACCGTTGTGTGATGTCCCATATTGGTTGAGAGGAGAACAAAACACTCTTTATAAGGGTGTGGAAACCTTCAGCTCCTTTATAAGTCTATTGGCACGTTTAAGTCTAGGGCATGACTTTGATACTATGTTAGATGAACACAACTCTCCACAATGGTATGACTGATTAAACAAGGTAAATAGAATAGGTGAAGAAAGACTCACCAAGAATTCAGTTCTTGTGAGTTATGATAGAATGAGAGTGTGAACTGTTGTCGGCTTTGAGTATAAGTTCTCATGGCTTTGATTTGGGCTTCCCGAAAATGCCTATACCAATGGAGAGAGTATTTTTTTATTATAAACCCATCAATATTTCCTAAATTAGCGGATGTGATACTTTCATCATCCAACATTCCCTTTCAATTTTTTCCTTCAAGGTTTTTAAAACGCTCTCTCTAGGGAGAGATTTCCACACTCTTTTAAAAAATGTTTCGTTCTCCTCTCCAATTGATGTGAAATTTCACAATCCACCCCCTTCGGAACCCAACGTCATCACTGACACTCATTCCCTTCTCCAATCGATATGAGATTCCCCAATCCACCCCCCTTGAGTCCCAATGTCCTTACTACTACACCACCTAATGTCTGACTCTAATACCATTTGTAACAGTTGAAACCCACTGCTAACCGATAGCGGTGGATTTAGGCCATTACAAAAAGATTATGAGTAGAACTACTCAACTCATAATTTGTAGTTAGAAATTGTGTCTTTAATTTAAAAATTCTTAGACATTATTTGTATGGAGAGAAGATTCAAATCATGCACAGACCCTAACAAATTAAAGCATTTTTCAAGTCGAAAGTTCTAAACACGGGACAACCATATGTGCCCGAAGCTAGTTACAGATTATGAAGTTGAGATATTATATAATAGTAAGTTAAACGGTTGAATTTTAGCAATATCTTCTCGAAGAGAAAATTTGAAAGTATTACCATAGAAATTGAGTGAATCCAAGTAAACAATTCTTAGAATGTATATATATTAGATGGTTTTTTCCTTTCTCTTCTCACAATCTCTAACTTAAGTCAGTTTCTCCATATCCATCGATGTCAAATGGGCGTAATTCATTTTTTCTCTTCACAAAGCCAGACATGCCAACTGAGATGCGAAAGCAGATCGAGGACATGCATGGATACAATCTCCAATTGGTGATTCACAAGAGATTAATAGAAGCTGATATGAACGAGAAAGGGCGTTTGTTTTTTCGAATCAAGAACATGTTCTTCGATTTCCTCACCCCAAATGAGAAGGAGCTCTTGAATGATGCAAACGGTGTCATGGAAGTCAAGATCGTTGATGAGGCTCAAAGGGTGAGCCCCATGTTCTTGACCAAAGGCAAGATTAAAGAACAGGATGTTTATTTTTTTACCACTCATTGGAATTCTTTTGTCGACAAAAATTGCTTGAAATTGGGCCACCTTATCCAACTTTGGAGTTTCAGAAGAGTTCGACTCGTAGACATCGATAACGAAATATTCACCTCTGATCTTTACTTCGCGTTGAATACCGTTGATGGCCGATGTATTCTTTAGAAGTGTTCTTGCTTAAATAATGGATAGGGTTGGTAGTTTTCTTTAGATGTTTTACAATTCGTAGATGTTTTCTTTCGATGTGTTCTTGCATAGACTCCGTAGGTTTTTTTCGAGTTTTTTCGTATGTCCCAGTTCAAGAAATTATCCATTCTTAAATAAATGACAGGATTAGTAGTTTAATAGTTTTCACATTTTGGATCTTGTTTATTTATTATATGCTTTCAATATTTTTAGGGTCCTCGAGTAAACTTTTGATTATTCTGTCTCAATTTTATATTTGCAGCGATCTAAATCCAATATTCGGAATTTGATAATCCTGACATTCCCTTATATCCGTGCTTCTAAAAGTGAAGACTAACAATGAGTGATCAACAATTAAGTCCATAAGATAACACCGAGTCCCCCAACCCCTTGATCCAATTAGATTCACTTGTTTTATACTTGATATTATATGTTACTATAGCTTTTGTTATTAGATTCACTGTAATGTTTTCATATGTATTTAATGCAACATTTAACATTAAATCGAGTTAAGTAATTTATACAAATTCCTTGCATATAATTACACATAGTGGGAAGAAACTACGCAACATTTTAACTACATCACAAACACGATCAGCAGCGACAATGGAATATAACTCACATCGACCGATCCATATGGCTACTTCCAAGGCAAGACACAATAGAGATTTGACAGGGAAGAATCAAAGGTAGACGACTGGAGAATGACGGTGACAACGATCACATGATAAATCGAAAACATAGTGAGGATGAGACGAGAACGACACTTGCTAAGGACCTCGGCCTATGTGTACTATGAGGATACCCGACCTCACTCAACTGTTATAGCCGAGTAGGTCAGCGACTAAGGTTTCAATTTCTCATTTTTTTTTTTTTTTTTTTTTAAGAAAAAGGTTTTCCTATATGTATCTTTTCATGGGTAATTTTAAGTTGCATTATCGAGAAGAGTTTCAACGCCAACGACCATATTTCTAATTAAAATACATGAGAATGGAAGTCGAGTTTATCTGTACTTATATAATGTGTTTACATTACAAATGGAAGGTACATAATCCAAGACACATCTCATGCATCGGCAAGGATAGCTGCATTGGCACAAATGAATCCCAACGTTGGTGTCGCAATAGCCCTGCTCTCCTCTATGCTTACTCGCACGTTAAGCATTACAGCAATCGTTGTTGCAATTGGCGCTGCACTGCCATAACGCTTAACAAAAGATTTAAATTCAAAAAACAAAAATTTAGAAACTCTTAATGAAAAATTCTATCTCTAAAGAACAAAGTCCTTTTTGGGCTTTCCTACCCTTATAAAGAGTGTTTTGTTCTCCTTCCCGATCAAGGTGAGATTCTCACAATCAGCCCAAAGAGACACAATAGCAATGGACTTGGGCCATTACAAATGTTATTAGAGCCAGACACCGGATGATGTGCAAGCAACGAGGCTGTTCCCCAAAGGGGTAGACACGAGGCGGTGTGTCAGTAAGGACACTGTGCCCCGAAGGGGGTGGATTTGGCGGGGGTCCCACATCGATTGAAGAAAGGAACGAGTGTCAGCGAGGACGTTGGCCCCGAAGGAGGTGGACTGTGAGAATCACATTGGTTGGGGAGGAGAACGTGAAGCTGGATTGTGAGAATTCCACGTTGGTTGGGGAGGAGAACGTCAGGGCTGAACTGTGATAATCCCACATTGGTTGGGGAGGAGAACGAAACACCCTTTAAAAGGGTGTGGAAACCTTTCTCTAAAAACCTTGAAGAAAAGCCCAAAGAGGACAATATTGGCTAGCGGTGGACTTGGGCCGTTACAGCTACGTGGACAAGATGTCATTGGACTTCAAAGATGGAACTGAAATTTCAAAAGTTGGTTCATGCTAGCACGAAGGAAACTTAGTAACTTCGACTCAGCAACCATG